TTCATTTGAGAGAAGAACGATTCTCGTTGCCAATCGCTATAAACCCATCATCACAAGTTGAAACTGATGAGGACTTTCGCCTGAAGCGATGGGGAAATAATTTTTCATACTGTTACTACACAGAAGAGCTTAAAAACAAGCGAAAAACTGTGTCTGACGTTGTCGAGGAAGCTGCTCAAGGAATTATTATCGAAGGAACCAAGCTCAGCAAACCATATGAAGCTGAATGGTTAGCTGAGCAGTTACGTGCAGTTAAACATTTTGGAAATACGGTGGAGGCAGAGATGCATACTAAACTTCCACCTATTATTAGTCAAACATGTGTTTATCTCTATACTAAAGAATCATTTTTGTACAAATTGATTAATTCTGTACTCCGCAATCCTGAAACAATTACTTGTGAACAGTTAAAAACATTAGGGCCATTTTCTTGGCTACTCAACACATATTTGAACCAATTAAATACAAGAAATAACCTCATTGTTTATCGTGGCGTCACACTAACTGATCAACAACGACAAGAATATATTAAAAAAGAAGGCGAAAGAGTATGTTTTATTTCATTCACTTCAACAAGCGAGAATCAGGAACTAGCTGAACAATTTGGCAACACTCTTTTCATTATTGATTTAGGTAAACACGCTGACTTCTATGGTGTAAACGTCTCTCTATTGTCTGACTTTCCTGAAGAAGAAGAATTTTTAATTAATACAGTTGCCACATTCAAGTTTGTTAAATATGAATTTGATAATGTGAAGAAGAAACATATTTTTCATCTCAAAACACTTTATTAAACAGTCTATAAAACAATATTAGCTTATTTTTACCAAATACTAGTCGATTGGAAATAGATTCATCAATGTCTTGACGAAAAGATAAATTCCGGTTGCTAGTCTCACCTCTTACTTTTCAATAGTCGACCATATCAAAGTGTGTTAACAACAGAAATAATATTTTATATATAAAACTGAATAAAAAAAATGCAGAGATTAATTTCGCCGCAGCGTTTTGTAAGGAGATGAGTATAAGAGTCTGTGGTGAGGGTGAGTTGTGTAATGCCTGGATTCGACGTTTATTTAGTTAATCCATCGATAATTAGAGCGCCACGAGGTATTATGTGGTCATATGATAAACGACATGTAGTATGATAATTTAATGATGCTAATCATCTAAATGTTTCATCGAATGAATGTGATGATTTATCAATATGTCTTTGGTATGTATCATCTTTATAATCACTAAATGATTCATCTAAATCACAATATACTCTTCTTGATGAATTGAATAAATGGATAGCTATTAGTCAACTCTGTCTTTCATTCTGTTTTACATGTTGGTATTGTTTAGTATCCATTTTCAGCTACAAACAGTGAAGTTTACATTATCATTAGTCTATCAAATGTTGTTTGCTATGAATTTAAATAAATGAGTTATAGATTTAAAATAAAATTTTTTTTTTATGAATAAAAACTAGACAACTAAATAAATGAATGTTAATAAAAAAACAAAACCAAAGTCAGCTAATATTTCTGTTAATCCAAATCGATAATTCTGTTTCTTGTTTATCCCTATAGTTGATATTAAATGATAGATTTAATTTTTTTGTTGCTTTTTTAAACCAAGAATAAAAATAATCATAATCATTTATTTCCCATAAATAAGCTTTTAACATTGATAATTTTGGTAAATGATTTAATAAATATAATAAATCATTTGCTTGATCAATATTACATTTAAGTTGTTCAATATTCGAAAATATTTTACAAAAATCTTCAATCTGGTGATGAAATTTAAATGAAGAAGAATGATATTTATAAATATCCAATTTTTTAATCATTTTATTTAAATATTCACATGCTTCATCATTATATGCAAAATGTTCTAAAGCACGAATACTAATCATTATTGATGATATTTTTGGTGCTTCTTGTAATATTCTTAATAATACATATGCATCTTTTATTTTAAATTCAAATGAAATTCCCAAATATTTTAAATTAGATAAATTAACAATATTTTTTAATGATTTAATTGCTTGTACTCCTAATTGTGGTCTATAAGCATATTTCGGAGGAAGAATTATTAATGATGTAACATTTGAAAAATAATGTCCACCTGATTCTCTTATTGTTGTATGATATATTGTTAAATTTTTCACATTATTAAATGTTTTAATTAACTGATTTGAATATCTATTAGAATCTAATTCTAATGTATAAGAATTTAACATATAAGGTATTGTATAAATCAATGCCGAATAGTTTGATAATGAATATTCAGTATACCATTGATGTTGTTTTATCCAAAAATCAGTTTGAAATTTATTAAATTTATCTTCAATATGATTATCATTAGGTTTATATATATAATTAAATATGAATTTAAATGTATCTAAATAAGGTAATAAAGATATAATTAAATATTCCCATTGATTAGCCTCAATCATATCTAAATCATAAGTTCCATAGAATTTTAAATTTGTTAATTTTGGTATATATTTTGCTAATAATTTAAAATCTTCAAATTTATATTCAAAATTAGATATAATCAATTCTTTTAAATGAATAGCTTTCATAAAATCAATATTTGAATAATTTGTTGTATAAGAATAATATGAGGAAAGATATTGAATATTGAGATAAGTTAACATTGGTACATATTTGAATAAATAATGAAATAATTGATCGAGTGAACAAGCAGAAATTGTGAGATTTGTAATTGATGAAAATTTATTAATTGATGATAATGTTGGAATTGATAATATTTCTAAATTAGATGTTAATGGATCAGTTAAATAAATATCATTAGAATCAAATAAATGAAAAGAATGTAGTTGTGGTATTAAAGGTATTATTAATTTCAATTTTTGTAAAATATTTTCTTCAACTTGAATTAATGTTAATGAATGAAGATGAAGAAATTCATTCAATGAAAATAATGATAAAAATGTTTTGATTTGATCAGATGTATCTTTATTTGATAATACTAATGTATAAATTTGATTTTTTACATCAGAATTTGATAATAAGAATTGACAAAATCGATCAAATATTGATTTTTGAATATTCTTAAAATTAACATGTAATGGAATTGTCCGAATAAGTTGATTAAAATAATTATTTAACTGATTAAATGAATAAAATATATCAAATATACTAAGAAATTCAAATATTTCAATGAAAATTTCATTTGGTAATAATTCAAATTTCATGTTGACTTGTAATTCGATTATAATAGAAAGAATCTAATAAACACATTTTTTTCTATTCTACTGGATATATATGTGCACATACATGTTATCAGTTTCATCCTATATAATACTCTACACTGGAAGAGAAAAGAATTTAATGTAAATAGTTCGAGGGTTATTCTATATTTATATTCATTTTCACTGTATTCTTGTTAATACATTCAAGTTTATAATCATAGCTATTTTATAATTCGGGTCTATAAAACTTGGGCATGAGATAATAAACTCCTATTTATACTTTGAAAGATAATAAAAATATAAAGTAGCAACAATGACAAATTTTTTTTAAATTTTATTTTGAAAATTATACGCATGTTTGAGTGTAATTTTATAATGACTTATTTCGATTGTAAATAATCGTTTTCATATATGTAACACTTGTTCTTAAAATGAATTCATCTTACTTAGACTAAAGCATCGATAAAGATTACTAAGACATGTGCAGGACCAAGTTTTTTTTTTGGTTGTATCTTTTGAATTTTACTTTACTCCTTTCGAGATGCCTTTAATTCAAGCAATATATTTGATATTTCTCTTCAAAAATGGTTCATAATTGATTATGTGGAAAAATCGAAATAAGGAAAATGCTTATAACTGATGCTTGTTGTTTTGTATTGCTTTGGAGATATTTAAAAAAAAACGTTTTTATAAAAAGATGGAAAACGCAATTATGTAAAAATTTCCTTTATTATTTATTTTTCTCTTTTTGTTTTCATAACTACCGGAAATGTAAAATTATTAACAAATGGGACTTCAGTTACGTGATTAAATCTCTGCTCTATTTTTTTTTCTTAAATTAGCATTTTCATCTATTTTTCTGTGTCTGTATCACACGAAGTCAGCTTTATCCAATTAAAACATCGATGTAAGTTTGTTTGTTTTTCTAATTAAATTTTGATTTAGAAATTAAGTTACCAGTTCTTGTACTAATGCTATTTTTTT